CAGATCGGCCTGCGCAAGCGCATTCTTTTTCTCATTGATCAGTGGCGTAGCTATGAAAAGCACCAGCAACCCCTGTCCATTGGCGAAATCCCCTCTCTAGCCGGACCTAGCGATGGTCTGACAGGAGCGACAATGGTCCACCCTTTAGCATCAACTTCCAGTGGCAGGACAAAACCTGACCAAACTTACGATTTAAACTTTCCCCACAGAGAGCGAGTCAACTTATTCGAAGGTCCTGTTGTCCACGGGCGTCTACCCGGTCAAAGTGAGTCATACTCTGTCTGCGAGAGCAATCCCAAGCTGTGGAAGGTCGCTGTGAGCGCTCTTTATGCCATGTTCTCCTTCTCTGTCACTGCTTTTGTCATGGTCCTTGTGCACGAGCGTCTTCCCGAGATGTCCAAGTATCCCCCTCTCCCAGACATTCTACTCGACAACCTGCCTTACATCCCCTGGGCTTTTGAGGCAGCAGAAATCGTGGCAGTTGCCTTACTGGCCATATGGCTTACTATTTTGGTCTTTCATCGGCATCGATTCATCCTCCTGCGACGCTACTGTTCGCTGCTGGGGACAGTCTTTCTGCTGCGCAGTGTTACCATGTTTATCACCTCACTCAGTGCACCGGGTCGCCATTTGTCTACCGAATGCAAGCCCTTTGTTTTCCACTCATTCAGCGAGCGTCTTCGTCGAGCAGCGGAAATCTTCTTCGGTCTTGGTATGACCCTGCGGGGAGTTCGTACTTGTGGGGACTACATTTTCAGTGGACATACCGCGGTAATTACGATGCTCAACTTCTTCATAACTGAGTACACACCGCCAAGCTTTCACCCCCTTCACATATTTACTTGGATTCTCAACGTATTTGGCATCTTCTTCATTCTGGCCGCGCACGAACATTACTCAATCGATGTGTTTGTGGCGGTGTACATAACCTCGCGTCTTTTCTTGTACTATCACTGGTTGGCAAACAATCAGTTTCTCATGCGCCAGGACAAGCAAAGGGCCAGGATCTGGTTCCCTCTCTTCACCTTCTTTGAGTCAGATTCCCGGGGCGCTGTTCCTGCGGAATTCTCCAATCCCTTTCAAGGCATCTTTCAGTTTCTGAAGTGTCGTCTTCTCCCGCGCCATGTTTCCAGTATTCTGATTCCTCCTAGAGGACAATGTTATTTTCACGAGAAGGTAAATTGATGCCAGCCCTCCAGTGTTCTT